GGTGGGGGTGGGGGGGATAATTGAGTTCTACTATTGTTGACTGACCTGAGTCTGTTATTTAGGTTTCAAAATTTTTGTTTTTTTGTTTGGTGTAATTGGATTTAGTATTGAGAATATGTTTCAATTGCAATTCTCCAGGATGATTTTTAGTTTTTGCTTTGAGGATTTTCTCCTCTTCATTTTTATTTTTATCTTGTTTTATTTTGTGTATTTGGTTCTGATCTGTTAAACTCATAGCTAGAGTTCTATGATTACCAGAGGGTTACCCTTATTGCAACAGGTTACTGGTTTCAATCTGATATTATCCCTTCTAACGGTGGCCCTCTGAACACTCCGTCTGTGAACTGTCTAAATATTTACCCAGCCTCTGATCTAACTGATCATTTTGGTTCTGGAGTCTAATACTTGGTTAATGTAGACCTGAATCATGTGGATGCAGGTTTTGTCAATGAGTTTACACTGAAAATAAAGTAGACTATGATAGCCAGACAGCTAACTTAAGTCGATGAAATTAAGGTTGATCTATCTTGCTCCTTCAGGAATGCAAGAACCTGTAGTAAAATGAATCTGAAAAGCAACCCTTTCCTTGGCGCACATGCCCATTTGATGTTAGATTGGGAATGTTATGGCTAGAGTCACACACACCCACACCAAAAGGAAGGATCAAATTACAATTCAGCAACTTTTATCCAAATGCTGAAGGGGAGCCTTGGTGTAACCGGTAAAGTTACCTCCACGTGACCAGGAGGTCACGAGTTCGAGCCGTGGAAACAGCTTCTTGCAGAAATGCAGGGTAAGGCTGCGTACAATAGACTCTTGTGATCCGGCCTTTCCCCAAACTCCGCGCATAGCGTGAGCTTAGTGCACTAGGCTGCTCTTTTATCCAAGTGCTATTCAAAAACTAGTCATTCGTAAGTGTTGTTATGATTATCTTCTCCATTTTCGCAATGTCACCAAACTATACGATTTTGCTGAAGCCCATTTTTAGACTGATACCTTTTGTACTGCTCATGTCGTCAATGCTGTTGTGCTTGGTGCATATTCTTTGGTCAGAAACTCATTGGTGATTGCTGATTGTGAATAGTAGGAGAGGAGAGAGGCGCTGTGTGTAATTGGAATTGTCACTCCATATACATTAACCAAGTGGATATGAGTCAATTCTCATCATAGAATTTGAATTTGATGGTTAAAACTTGATCCTGAACTGGCAATTGTCGCAATATATCCTGCCCCTTAACTTAGGAGTTACCTAGTGGTCATAAAACTGGAATGACAACCTTTGGAATTCAGGGTTCGAATCCTAGCAGAGGAAAGAAATTTAAACTGTCAGTACAGCATAGAAGCACCAATCCATGTACATTTGGCAGGTATACAACAACAAACCCAGTGTAATCCAATAAGTGGAATTTGGCGTGTATACGTCTGACTAAATTCATTTCTGCTTGAAGAGGAAATGCGAAACTATTCATTCTCCTCCCATTTGTAGTAGTCAAACAGTTCAGCAACTGCAATGAAAGATGTTCTCCAGTAGGTAGTTCACTTATTGGCTTTATGGAAGTTATGTTCCAATCCATTTTCTGAAGCCACTTTTCGCTGAAAAGGAGTATATTTGATTAATGGAAATCTAAGTAACGTAACGAGGATATTATGGTAAGTTGAAATCCATTAATAATCAACAATAACATCAACTAAGGGTGTTTAACGGGCCGGGTTGACCCGGTTCCGGACCGGCCCAAACCAATAGTAACCCGGACCGGACGGTGGTAGGGGGCCGGGTAGGGCTGGGTTTGGGGGGTTAGGGGGTTGGGATGTTTACTTTTTTCATACCGGTTAACCGGACTGGTCAAACCCGGTAAAGGAAAATCACTGTTGCAACGGTTAACCTGACCGGCCCGAACCGGTTCAATGGCTATTTTCTGATTTTTTTTTTTGAAATCCATTTGACTGTTGGCAACGGTCAGATTCCAATTTGACCGTTGCCCAACGGATATTTTGCAAGAATAGCCGTTGGGCAATTTTTTTAAAAATAAATAACACTTTAGGTAATTACTAATTTAGCCCTTTGAAAAACTGTAAATACACCCCCCTCTTCTTCATTTCTTCACTCAACTCTCATTTCTCAAACTCAAATTCTCAACAAGTTAAATCATGCCTCGTACTTCTAGAGTGCGCTCATATGTTTGGGAAGACTTTGAGGTGGTAGAAGAAAATGAAGAAGTTCACAAAGTAAAGTGCAAGAACTGTGGTCGAGTCTTAAATCTTCGTCTAAAGTGGGTGGGCACAGGCTGTTTAAGGAGGCATATCAAGAGTTGTTCTGAACGTTCTCCAGAAATTAGTATTTAACTTGATTTGAAACACTTTGTGTTATTTTAAAATTATTAGACGTATTTATGCTTACGGAAAAGGGTCAAATATATCCCTCTACTATTATATATTGTTCAAATGTATCCTCCGTTATACTATCCGACCAAATATACCCTTACTATTAGGGAAAGTTTTATATTTGCCCTTATTTTAACGGATCAGACACGTGGAGCCTTTAAAATAGAAGCCCCAACCCGTTCGATAAAAACCCAACCCCGTAAAAATAACCCATACCCGGCCTGACCTCCCCCTTCCCCGATTTGAACTTGAAGCTTCAAGTAAGCTTTAATGGAGTTTTAACTTTCTTCTTCAAATTTTCTACCTCAAAATCGTTTGATACTCACGTTTCAAGCTCCAAACATTAGTTTCCCAGCAGTTTTAAGCATTATTTTGGTCGTCATTTAAAGATCAAAACCCCCAGATTCGAAGCTTTGAAGAATGCTCCAATGGAGTCTTTAGCTCTCTTTCTAGTTCCAAGTTATCTCCAAAGTAGCTAATCATGATTTTATAGCTCAAGATGTTAAGTTCAGATGTTTTGAAGATCAAAGATTAGCTCCAAATCAAGGCCGAACAACAAATAACTCCTAATTATTTTTAAAAAAATCAAGCTTTAAACCCAACGAACCCAGGTAATGGTGTTCTTCAAAAGTTCTACTCTAGATATTTGTGAATTTTCAGCTCCACAAACACACAATCAACTGAATTTAATTACCAATAAACAATAACATATATTTTTAACCTCAAATTTGAATACTTTTTTTTTCCAGCCACAACTTCGATCTCCAAGCTAACCTAGCACTAGGTGCTTGTAATGTTCACTTCACTTTCCACCCAACAACCGCCAAATGATTCAAGCACAATCAATAGAACCTAATCAGATTTTAGG